CGTTAATTGATAACAAAGAAGGAGGCAAAACTAAGTTTAATACGGTAGATACTTCTCTTGAGTGAATTCAACTTGGAGATCAAGGACAAAAAGGGAACAGAGAATAGTGTTGCAGACCGTTTGAGCCGTCTGGTTCATGTGGACGATGAACTTCAATTGCACAAAACCTTTCCTGATGAGCAATTGTTCTCTGCAAATGCGACACTTCCTTGGTATGCAGATATCATAAATTTTTTGGCTATTAACATTTTTCCCTCGCATTTCTCTAGGGCTCCAAAGGATAAGATAAGGAAGGATGCAAAATATTATGTATGGGATGACCCATACCTATGGAAGCATTGTGCAGATCAAGTAATCAGAAGGTGTATTCCGGAAAATGAAATCACCCCTATCCTCACCTTTTGTCATTCTTATGCCTGTGGAAGACAATTTGGACTGAAGAGGACAGCAAGAAAGGTGTTGGAATGTGGTTTCTATTGGCCATCCTTATTTTGAGATGCATATGAGTTATGTAAGTCATGTGAGAATTTCCAAAAGATAGGTAGCATATTCCAGAGAAATGAAATGCCACAATCACCCTTACTCTTCTGTGAAATTTTTGATGTTTGGGGCATTGATTTCATGAGACCATTTACTGTGTCTTTTGGTTGTCTATATTTTACTTGCTGTGGACTATGTGTCGAAATGGGTGGAACCAAAAGCCACCAGAATTGATGATTCTCGAGTTGTTGCAGATTTTATCAAGTCTAACATATTCTCCAGGTTTGGAATTCCAAGAGCTCTCATCAGTGATCGTGGCACTCATTTTTGTAATTGAACGGTGGAGGCTTTGTTGAGAAAATATCATGTAACTCATAAGGTGTCAACTACATATCACCCACAAACAAATGGACAAGCAGAAGTATCCAATCGAGAAATCAAATCTATCTTTGAAAAAACAAATTTTCCCAACGGAAAGGATTGGAGTTTGCGCTTGGATGACGCTTTATGGGCATACCGAACTACATATAAGACACATATTGGTATGTCACCTTATCTTTTGGTATTCGAGAAACCATGTCACCTTCCAGTGGAGTTGGAACACAAAGCTTATTGGGCTATCAAAAATCTCAACATGAAGATGGATGAAAGTGGAGAACATAGGAAGTTGCAACTTCAAGAGTTAGAGGAAATTCATAATGATGCCTATGAAGTGCAATGATTTATAAGGAAAAGACAAAGCTTTTCCATGATAAGATGATCTCTAGAAAGGAGTTTAAAGTCGGTCAAAAAGTCCTTCTGTACTAGTCCCTGCTTCGTCTATTTCCAGGTAAGTAGCGTTCTCGTTGGATTAGATCATTTGTTGTTACTAATGTTTTCCCTCATGGTGCAGTTGAAATTCAGAGTTTGGCATCTTCATCAGTTTTTAAAGTTAACGGCCATAGACTTAAGCCATTCTACGAAGGTTTCAAGGCGGAGGCCGCAACAACGTTGAAGCCTGGAGGTCCTATATATAAAAATTAAGGAAGAAAGCAATAAGTCTAGCCAAAGACAATAACAAAGGCACTGCTTGGGAGGCAACCCAAGGGGAGTTTGTTCCTTTACCTTTTCATTTTATTTCGTTTTTTGCATTAATATTTTAGGTTAAATTTGTTCTCTTCTTTGCATTTCACTTTATATTGGGGACAATGTAAGTTTTAAGTGTAGGGGAAGGAATTTAGGATCTTTTCATTTTATTTTTGAGTCATATTTCTGCTTTACAAAAAATTTTTGAAAAATTGAGAGAAAATTTGTGATTTTAAATGATTTTTGGTTGTGTGTGCTATTTGCAAGGTTCAATTCAATCTCTGAAGAGTGCATAACATGATTGAATAAATGATCTTTCCAACTTAAAGTTAATTGGTTGAGTTATTTTCTTTGAGGATGGTAGTAACTAAATTTTGTAGACAAAAAGCGAGTGAAATTTTGAGCCTTTAAGACTGACACGTACATATCAGTCTCACTATTTTCTTTCATGAGTGATTTTCTTCCTTGGATTTGTTTATCCAGAACTTGCCTTGATTCTCTTCGAGATCATATTGATACATGCATGCATGAACATGATTAAGGCCATCTTTGTTTCATAATTTAGCCACCTTAGCCAAATAGCCTACCCTGTAATTAATTGTTCCTTTGTTGAACCCCTTTGAGCCTTATAGCCTTTTCTTTTTGAACCCATGTTACAAGCTTTAAATCTGAAAAAACAATAATCTTACCAAGCTGGAATGTAAGTGGAGTATTGTTCATCATTTTGTTACATATTGGAGTGCAAAAGAATAAGTGTGGGGATGTCTAAAATTTCGGTAGGACTATGATTGGTGGAATGAAACATGTTCTCAATTACAATGCATAAGTTCCATTATTATTGTCATATTTTGAGGAAAAAAATGATGAAAAAAATTTATTGAAAAAAAAAGAGAAAAAAAAAAGTTGAAAAAAAAAGGATGAAAGAGATGAAAAAGAAAGAAGTGATGGAGGAAATAATTTTCAAGGTTGCAAAATTATTTTATGCTCATGATTTCTCCTAATATATTACAAGAAGGGATTGGGTTGTGTGAAATAAATGAAGAGAAACACTTAAGTGGAGTGGTAATCTTACATGTCTTATATATGTTTGAGCTTGAGGCAATTTATTTTTCTTACTCTGCTAGTTTCAATGGTTTTTAAGTTACTTATCCAAATACTTCCCACCTGGACCCCATGGAAAAGACCTTATGATTTGTGTTATGGATGTGATCTAATTGGTGGAGAATGAGAAGATATGCAAGCATATGGTATAACATCTCTATTGGAACTTGAGCGAAACACTTACCCCTTAAACACATGAGAGTTGAGTGCTAATATTCCGCGAGGGTTTACATGTTTGGTTTACTCCATCTTTATTTGAGAATGCTTGATAATTGGTTATAAGTTGTGTGAGAATATTTGTTCATGATGTGTTATATGTTTTAACGAGTTTGATTGTTCTATGTTGATAGCATTGCAACTGCAACATTTTTGTGAAAGTGAATTTGAATTTTACTCGAGGACGAGCAAAAGCTAAGTGTGGGGGAATTTGATAAGACATAAAATGTCATGTTTTTCATCCATTAATACTTGCATTTTTGTGATTAATTGACGCCTAAATGTACTGAGTATCCTTATATTTTGATTTAGGTCACAATTGGATGATTATGGCATAAATTAGAGGAAATGAGTGAAGAAGGACCAAAGTGAAAGAAATCAAAAGTTCAAGAACTAAATTGTAAATATCCAAAAGTTTAACCAAAAGGCGAAACAAAGGAGTGAAAAATTTGAAGGTCAATTGATGGAAGACTTAACGTATTGGAAGAAGAAAAATAAGAAAAAGAGGCCAAGGAAAAGAGAAGATGAAAGCTTAGGGACCAAGTTACAAATAATTCCTAGATGAAGCGAGCTATAGAATGAAGATTCAAGAGTTTTAGAGGGCAATTGGAGGAAGAAAGAAGTCAAAGATATGAAATATAGTCAAAGTATAATCACACATCAATTTCCGATCAAAAGGGTTATGCACTAGTTTTTAGCATCATATTGGGAACCATTTTCGACATGGTATAAGATCGAATTGGAAGATGACTTCTGAGCAAAAGTTGTAGGTCTTTGAGTTAGCTTTCCAACACAACTTGAATCATCTTAATTGAACAGTGAGAGAGAAAGTTATAACCAAAATACTGAAAACTATCTGGTGGAGAAAACCGTATAACCATGCGGTTGCATGGTTCATTTTCCATGCGGTCACACAAGACATTTCAGCGATCTCAGGACCCTGTTTTGACATAACCATGCAGTCGCATGGTAGAAACTTTTGACGCAATTTTTAGTTTCCTTTATCCGTCCAACCATGTATGGAAACAAATCTTTTCACCATATAAATACCCCAAAACTCGTCCAAAATCTAAAAAAAGCCCCCCAAATCACTTTTCTTTCTTTTGTGCTCTAAAATTGAAGATGTCTAGCTAATTTCTCATACTTGGTCGAGGATATTGAAGCCCCAAAATCTATACAATTGTGAGATCAAATTGTTTTAGTAGTTTAATACATGTTTTTGGGTATTGAACATTCTTTTGCACTTATTTTCAATGATTGTTGTGTTTAATTGCTAGGATGCATACTAGTTTGTTATTCATTACAATCTGCTACCAAGTTAAACATCAAATCCATAATTGTTTGATTGATTTAACTTGTGAAGCAACTAGGATTAGTGATTTGCTGGTTTGGAAATTGTTAAATCTTAGGAAGAATGTTTGAATAGGTTAAATGCAAACGCATGACTTATGTTATCTAGTTCATCGATTTCTCTAATACATAAAGCTATTATTGAATTAAATCTTAGCGCTTGTCTATGGTTGTTTGATAACTAGGATTAGTTAGAAGGTCATTACCCTAACTAATTACACTTAACAAGGAATAGCAAATTAATTTGAATGGTAATTATTTTTCCAACGGTGAATATTCAAAATATGAATTGATTCATACTTGCATGTATGATCAGTTGTAAAATTTCGAAGGTGGACATTGACTTAGACCAAGGTTAGTTTTTTTTTTCGTTGATTTAATCCAATTTATTAATTTGCATTGTTTTTAGTTAGAATTGATTTCAACACATTCAAAAACCCTCTTTTAGTTAATTTAGCATAAAAAATAGACTAAACACTCTTCGTGGGATCGACCCTTACTTCTATTACTACATTTGTTTTAAGGAGTATAGGTTTTAATTTGGAGTGCCTACGACAGCATGCACCACATGTCACTCTATACTGTATGGGGGTCACTTTGCAACAACCAAGACAGCAGCAAAGGTACTACAATCAGGTTTTTATTGGCCTACGTTGGTCAAGGACGCCTATTATGTGGTAAAACATAGTGATAAGTACCAGAGGACTGGAAACATCTCAAGGAGGAATGAGATGCATTTGAACAGTATTTTGGAGGATGAAATATTCGACGTTTGAGGCATTGACTTCATGGGACCATTCTCTCCATCCTACGGTCAACAATACATATTGGTGGTAGTGGACTACGTGTCTAAATGGGTTGAAGCTGTGGCTTTGCCAACTAACGACGGTCGAGTGGTAGCTCAATTCCTAAAGAAGAACATTTCCACGAGATATAGTACCCCGAGGGCGATTATTAGTGATGGTGGAAAGCATTTTTGTAACCACCTATTTGTTTCACCATTGGCCAAATATGGAGTGAAACATCGTGTCTCGACTCCATACCATCCTCAGACTAGTGGGCAAGTGGAAATCTCCAACAGGGAGTTAAAGAAAATTCTTGAAGCTACAATCAGTACATCACGTAAATATTGGGCTAAGAAACTAGACGATGCACTTTGGGCATATGAAACGGCATTTAAGACTCCAATTGGCATGTCTTCATATCGTTTGGTATTTGGAAAGGCTTGTCAACTTCTGGTTGAGTTAGAGCATAAAGCATACTGGGTGACACACTTGCTCAATTTCAATATGAGAGCAGCAGGAGAAAAGAGGGTTCTACAACTTCATGAGCTAGATGAGTTTTGTTTAGATTCGTATGAGAATGCAAAGATTTACAAGGAAAAGATCAAGAGATGGCACAACATGCATATAAGGGAGAAGGAGTTTGAGGTTGGTCAAGAAGTATTGATGTTCAATTCACGCCTCAAGCTTTTTTCAGAAAAGCTAAAGTCTAGGTGGTCGAGTCCATTCACAATAGTAGCTGTGTGTCCACATTGTGCTGTAAAGGTGGTGTCTCAAGATCAACAAAGGAGGTTCAAAGTAAATGGACAATGGTTGAAAGCTTATTAGGGAGGTGACTACTCCGGTGAGAAAACAACCGTGCCACTTGATAATGCAGAGTAGTCAGGACAACAAAATCTAGCTAAAGACTATAAACTAAGCGCTTATTGGGAGGCAACCTAATTTATAAACCTTTTATTTTTTTTTCTGCATCGCATTGCATATAGACTTGTTTTAATTATTAGTTTGCATTAGATTTAGGCACGTTTAAATTTATAGAGTATCATCATCCGATCATGTTTTCACTGAGACCCTTAAATATAATGTGGGTTATTTCGAGTGTTTGGACTAAGTAACGCATGTGTTAGATTATTTGATCTCTAATGTTTGATCTGATTGCCATATGCATGAACATGACGTTGTGGAATACTCAAACCAACATCGACCAAGGGGAAAGCATGATGAGAAAGATTGTCTAGCCGTCACCTACACTATCTTCTATGCTCAATAGAAAAATTCGGGGAGTATATGCGTCCTTTTCTTCTCCATCCCTTTACATTCTTAATTATGCTTTAAGATATTGGGGACAATGTTTGGTCTAAGTTTGGGGGGTGGGAAACACTTTTGTTTTTGTACGTTTATTTTTAAAAAAAAAATCGCTAAAATTTTATTTTTATTTTATTTTATTTATTTGTGGTTGTGCTTGTTTGGGTTAGACAGTTTGGCTGACAATGATAATTAAATTTGAGATTTGGTGTTGATTTATGAACTGTTGATAGGATCCATGCTAGATTGATTAAAGCTTGAACTTGCAAAATGTTATATTATATGCACACTAGAACTGAGTTTGACATTATGATGAAATGAGTTGATTCATACACGTGATAGATTGTTTTAGTTGGACATAGATGCTTTACCCAAACCATACTAATTATTTATCCTTAGATCAAATTTAGCACAATTTGGGGAGATCTTATTGTTGTAAGAAGATACGGATGTGAATGTGGATTCCTTGTGTGAAAAAGTTTGTGTGGATTGTCTTAGATTAACAGGATAAAATTGGGTGAATGTCTTAAATTGGGCGTCAATTTGCTTGAATGGATGTTTGATAAAGGACATCGCACTAACCAAGGCATATATTTTGAAATTTCAAACTTCTCTTTGAAGTCTTTATGACTCGAGTAATTAAGCCTGTAAGGGTATCTGGAAACCTGGTGCCCTAAAGTCATCTGATTTAGGAGTCATCGCCTAAAGCTCATTATAGGGGTCATTTAAAAAGTAATCAGAGATGAAGTTGCCCTTAAAATAAATTGTTCTCTTCAAAGCCTTTTTTACTCGGGTTATTAAGCATGTAAAGGTATTTGAAAATCTGGTGCTCTAAAGTCATCTGATTTGAGAGTTATCAGCCTAAAGCATGCTACATGGGTCATCTAGAAAGCTTAAGGGTGAGTGCAGAAAAAAAAATAAGAAAAAAAGAAGAAAAAAGAAGAAGCAATAAATGCCTTGTAAGTCCCAACACCTGTTCAAGGAAATTTAACTTTCGATGAAGGATAATTAGCCTAGTTGAGTCTTGACGGTTGAAGCAATCAAATAATTGGAGAATCCTTATTGATCGATGTATTGACTTGCAATTAGTGAGATTTACCTAAATTGGAGAGGTGATGATAGTAATGAAAAATTCAATTAGATCACACGCTGAGAAAAGAGTGAAAAAGAATAAACTTGGAGTGAGTGAATCTTACGAGAGATGAAAGGATATATTTGACCATAGAAGGTCGGGAATTGAAACAACTTGTGGATTCATTAATGTCTACTTAGTTCTTCACACACACGTCGATTTTGTATCGAAAAAGTGGATATTAATTTGATATTGTGACTTTGAAGCAGTTTGTAGATTTAATGTCGTGATTTCAAATCCTGAGGTAAAAAGCTAAAATGGTCCAATCATATATTTTTGCATGTTTGTGTGTTTGTTGTTATTTAGCTTATAGTTTTGTTCGAGGACAAACAAATGTTTAAGTTTGGGGGATGAGTGCAATTTGTGCACTTATTTAGACCATTTTGTTAAGCATTTATGTTGTCAATTTATTAATTTTTAACTTGGGTTAATTTTATTTTTATTTTTAGTGACAAACTCGTTCAAAGCAATTGGAAAGGATGAAGAACAAATTGGCTATTGGATGCAATATTGAAGATCAAATTCAACACTTGGAAAATTGAAGAGGACGTTGATTGCACAATGGAGGAACTCAAGGACTACATTGCATTAACTTAAAAGTTGGATGACTTGAAGAAAATAAGTTACTTATTGGGTCTCCAATGAAATCAAATCTTAATAGAACTCAAGATGTTGGAAAGTTCAATTTTAATTGGGCCTTTATAGAATTGGCGGCTGCAATTGGAAGGAATTGGAGTTCTTGTGTTAATAAAATTGGGCAGCTAATTTCACAAACATATATATACACACATACCGGAAAAATGAGCAGGAACCAAAGAGGAAAGGGAATTTGTGGCTACCTATTGCTGGGATTTATTATACATACGCACATAGGCGGTGGTAGTTGGACGAAAAAAAAGAAAGGAAGAGATCAGACGGTTGCTTTTGAGGAAGGCTATATATTTACACACAAAATTGGAGACGGCAGCCACGAGGACGGAGAAGAACCGAAAGCAGTTGAAGAAAGAATTTGGAATTTAATCACTTCCCATCGATTTTTGGTGATTTCCTTCCACTTTTATGCGTTTAATCCCAAAATTATGCTAGGCTAATTTTACTCATGTATTGGTGGATGACAAAATTGTTTAATTCTTAGTTTGAATTCAGTGTTTTTATTTTAATTCTTGTGTTGTGATTCCATTAATATGCATAATTATATTGTTTTAATGTCTGCATAACCATTAGAACAATAAGCTGCTTATTCGTTGTGTTGAAACACTCACGGTAGGTAGAACACTATTATTGGGACACACGGACAATAAATGTTAGGAATAATATTTGTGGCGTGTGCGATCATATGTGATAATCTTGAATGTTAATGCATCTTTACCATATGAATCCAGACTAGGAATAGGATCGTCTCGTGGCAATCATAGGTTTATTATATCTTGACAAAGAATAATAAATAACAATGGAATTATCGATCATCGCAATTGCATGAATTAAGATAATTATTACTGGTTGAGAATTACAACTAAGAATTGATAAGTGGCATCAGAAATCCAATAGTTCACGTATTTGATTTTTCAACCAACTTTCATTGTTTTCGTTAGTTTTAGTTATAAAAATTATTTAGCTATTCATTCGATCGTTATTTGGTCACAAACACGAATTTAAATATATCAAATATACTAGAATTGATCCTTATTCTCTGTAAAATGATAACTCTCTCATCACGATTATTACTTGTACAACAAACTCGTATGCTTGCGGGATTTCGATGAACATTTCACATAGCTTTTATATATTTATTGTGTAATTAACTTTTAATTTTGATTTCCATGGTCTTTGGTGGTACATGCTTCGTACGAGAAGTTTTGATCTTTTTTAGCTTGATCCGAATATTGAAAAAACTTTTCGAAGAAGGCGACGGGAACAAAGGGAATTGAGAAGGCAACAATTGATTGAGATGGCACACCAAGTGAGTAATTTGGAACCTAATCCTCAACTGAAAAATGTTCCTCGAGGTGGCATTCCACCAGGTTTTGGTAACCAAGCGGGTAGAGCTCAAGAGCCCATTGTAAATGAGGAAGATATGCTGTTTGGGGACTTAATGAACCCACTCGTAGTAGAGAATGAATCAAGTATTGTCTACCCTCCATATGGACATCCAAACTTTCAACTTCGTCCGGATGTCATTAGTTTGTTCTCCAATACCATTCCGTTCTATGGAAGGATTGATGAGAATCCTTACTCACATGTTGTACGATTCATAGAGAATGTTGGAAATTTTAAATATGAAGGTATAAATGTGGAGGCAATCTGGATGAGGTTATTTGTTCACACATTGAAGGATAAGGCGAGGGAATGGCTTGAGACTCTACCGCCCAAAAGTATAAATAGTTGGCCGGAATTTATTCAAAAATTCACAACCAAATTCTTTCCACCCGCCCAAGTAGCCAAACTCAAGCATGACATAACCACTTTCGAACAATCCAAATTTGAGAGCTTTCACGAGGCTTGGGAGAGGTTCAAGGATATGCTTCGAAAATGTCCAAATCATGGAACCACAATGGGACAACAAGTGAATTATTTTTATGCCGGGGTGACTCCTTGCCGTTCAAATGTGGATTCATCATTTAATGGCCCAATCAAGAAGAAGAGTATTCGGGAAGCATATGATCTATTTGAGGTCATGAGTGACCAAAATGCTATGTGGCCGGATAGAGGTTTACAAAGAGGGGGTGGTGGAGTTCGAGATGGTGAAGCTTTCTCAATGGTTCTTGCAAAGATCGACTCACTAGCAAAGAAGGTAGAAGGACTTTCTACATCTACCTCCAACTCTCATTCCACTCATATGGTATAATCTCCGCCTATTTGTGATATTTGTGGAGAAAATCACTCAAGCTCAAGTCGTCCATTGATAGGTAGTGGTTCAGCATCTACTGAGCAAATTGTATATACTCAAAACTTTCAATGCCAAGGGTACAATCCTTACTCGCATACTTATAACCCCGATTGGTGAAATCATCCGAACTTTTCTTATGTAAATAATCAAAATGTGCTAACCTGAGGCCACAAGAGAAAAAAGAAGGTTTGGAAGAGGTCATTGTTAAGTTGGCAAACGATCAATTGCAATATCAAGAATGCAATTATGCCTCTTTGAAAAACTTAGAACGTCAAGTCGGTCAAATTACCAAGCTTATCTTCGAAGGGCAACAAGGGACGTTGCCTAGCAACACTGAAACAAATCCAAGGGAGAATGTATAAGCTATTACCACTAGAAGTGAGGTGCAACTGCCTGAAATCACGGTGACACACCCTAAGGGTCAAAACGACAAGGCTCCCATTGAAGAAGAATGGGTTATGCAAGAACCTGATCCAAAGGATAAGACACTAATTGAAGAAGAAC